TGACGATTTGTAAAACATCAAAGCGTGTCCAATAAAAATCGACAACAAAATGTCAACTACATATTTCATACGTTTCTTTGAATAATCGGCTAAAATTTTTTTTTTGATATAACTGATCACGACCATTCATTTTGCAAATGTTCATGTCTCTACTTAACACTTATGCTAAATTTCAGAGACAAGATAAAAAAAAACATAAACGTTCTTGCTTACTTTTTATTGTAATATTTCTAATATTTGGTTATTTTTCTAAAAAAAATAAAAATTTTAATAAAACTCAATGTGTATTAACAATCTTATAATTTTTCTTTATGAGCAAATTTAATTGATAAGATATTTCGACCATCATTACTGCATATTTTTCTTTAGGAGATTTCGTACTATCTTTTATAATTTCTTTTTCTAATTGTAGTCGCTTATCAAACATTTTTCCAAGAGCTTTTTCTTCCAGTACACTTTACACAATTTCATATTTCCGTACGTCGGCAAACTTACCCTCTCCTATCTACTGGTTATACATGTTCATTAAATAATTCTACGATGAATGATGCGGTCAATACTTCATATTATATTGATACGTTTTAAATTCAATACAAAACATTACAAATCTTTTCTTTTTTCGATAATGAAAGATATTAACGATTAAAATTTGTTATTAAATCTGCAAGATTCTAAATATAAATACACTTCTATTTGCTTACAATAAGTTTTAGTCATTCTGTCTCGTTTGGCAAAATAGCAAAAATTCACGTATTTTAATCTTGCTTATGCATTTCAGTACTAGTTTTAGCTAAAGAACTGATATTTTAGAAAAATCAAGATCGTGGTTAGGTATACATGTAATCAAACTTTCAGTCTTCTATGTTAAAAAAAAAGTATGGAAAACTAATTGTACAATTTATTCTCAATTGTTATGGGATACCCTTTTGCGAACAATCAATATGGCCTTATTTATTTGAATCTTATCATCATATTTTTAGTTTATGATCACATGCACACTGTTGAATAAATCAGGGTTGAATTAGAAATCGATTAATGTACTTAGAATAAAACTCATTTTCAAAAGCTGGTATTAATAGCATATGAAATACATCACTGATATAGACTATTTATTATATTAAATTTTTCTAATAAACTGAAATTAGGGTATTGGTTTTAGTAGGATCTCGCGTTTACATTGTTATCAAGTCAAATATGTTGTACTCTTGTATTGCATCTTGCACGAGTACGATTTTTCGCACCCGAACCTGGATCGACAAATTTTTTTTTTATAGTCAAGTTTGACCCGAATCAGAACTAATCGACATTCGGCAGATACTTGCACAGTCATAGTACAGTTTTTAAATCTATACTGTATATGAAAAAGTATACTAGTTAGTTTGTTTCATAAAAAGCAATAAAAAGAAGAGATCATCTTAATTTTCGTAAAAAAAAGCAAATGATTCAGCACTCACTTGGTGTCTTTTTGCTTCTAAAATCCGATCAATTTCGCTAAGTATATATTTGCTTGTTGCTGATAGCACTGGAATAAAATTCAGTGTTGATGCCAAACTTCATAATTTTGAATACATGAATGATTTCTTCATCACGATAATACATGTTCACCTTCTCTTTAATTTATTTTCCTTTTTATATATTCAATTACTTCGTCATATGGTTTCTCATGATATACATATGAATTGCCATTAAAAACGAATCCTCTTAGTAAACCAATATTGCTTTCCGATTATGTGACTTGTTCTCAAGTATAATAAATTGCTCAATCATGATCGACCTGATTTTCATTCCTATGCTTTGATGCATATAATACTTTGAAAAAGTAAAAATATTTTGAAACGTTCAGATCTTACATACTGCCAAGTGTCGGGTATCCGATCCAATGCAGGACACTATACTTGCTAAAACAACACTGTAGTATAGTGGCGCCCTTTGTGTGAAAATTATCTTTCCTAAAAATAAAATATCTATATGAATATATCGTCTGATTTAATATAGTTTCTATCAGAATTTCTTTTTCTGATGTTTTCATTAAATTCAGATTGTTTATCGTCAAATGCATTTGACAATGACTTACATTTCATTATATCACTAGATCATGTGCTCTTGATACATACGCTACTAGCCAAAAGTATTCGTCAGTCCTTGGATATTAGTTCGTATAAAAGCTAAACGTTTGAAAACTCTTTTGCATGAAGTCCACAGATAATGTAGGTCAGTGGTTACATCAGTGGCAAAATCGCTCAAGCTAGAGTGGAGTTATAATAGGTAGTGTTCACGATCACTATGAATCTCGTCACTCGAGAATAGACATGCCTTTCGACTACTGACGAACTGTATCATTTTTACTAAAAACATGGATACACGAAAAAAACTGTAGGGATGTCATTGAATGGTCAAAAACTCAGTGGTAGTTTGATAAATTAATCCGAAATTTTTAAGAAGTATTCCACCATGGGTGATCATTGTTTCTTGAAAGTTTTAGAAGCAATTGACTAACTAAATGAAAATGAAGCATCGATGATCATCGCACACTTATCAAGGCTCTGGCGTCTCCATTACTCAAGCCAATCGGAACATCTTTTGACCAATAAAGGATTATGAGTTGGGCTACAATTGTGTCCTGAAAGATCAAAAATTATTTATATATTACCTTAAAAGCAAAACATAAATCAGTAAAGCTATTTTTTGCTATCTTGCTGCCAATGGAAGTAGTCGTCTTCATTTGTCAAGATTTTGCCGAGAAAATCGTGTTGGATGGGTTTAGATTTTTATTTGAACACGATAAACCAATCTGTTTTAGGTATCTATACAGTTCTCTGCGGGAATTTTACAACGAAATATGTTATATACGGATATGGTTTGTGTAACGTTATAGAAAGATTATGCTTTCAAGAATCAAGATGACAGCTATTAGAGACTTCCACGCTTTCAATTATCTGTGACAGTTTTAAATAAAATTCTTAGCAACTCCAGTTATAATATTGCGTGATTCAACAAAAACAGCTAAGTTTTATTTTTTCCTAAAAACTTCGAACCGTTCGCAATGATTTTTCCAGTGAAATCTTGACAAATGAAGGCGATTGCTTCCTTTCGCAGCAAAATAATAAAAAAAGGTTTAGTGCTTTATATTTTGTGTTCTTAGTGGTAATTTAGTTAAGTTTTTATTTCTTCTATTCACGAAAATCATTACAGGCAACAATGTAATCAATGAATTTATGTGAATTCTATTTTCAGTATTAATCATCAGTAAATGAACCATATGATGTGACTGATATATCAGTTATGCCAATCTGTACTCCATTTTGAAGTATCTTATCCATAGAATATCAATAAAATATTGTATTATGTATATAATTCCAAATTTTCAGATATTCACAATTATATTTATATATATATATTCTATGTTAATTATTCAGTAAAATGGCGATATATTTCGATTTAAGAAAAATATCAAATAACCCGTAAATAGTGTTATATTGAGATCAAACCAAAAATCTATTACTTAGTTTTCAGTGCTGAATATAGTGTATCTGCTCAAGCGAACAAAATAAAGAAAAAAGATATTATCTACAGATTAAAAGATATAAATAACACTTTGCAGAATATTTATTCTTTTTGGGACATATTTTAAATTCGACTCAAATGTCTTGATTAAAAATTTATCAAGTCAGTTTTTAAATTGATTGAAATCGTATAAAATGTATCCTTTAATTTATTGCATAAATCTATTGAATAAACATTTACTGATGGTGTACGATGATTAGTCAAGGGCGAAGAAACTGATTTACCGATTTCTGATGATTTCTACGAAGACAAACCAGTTTCTTTCTATTAATCGAAAATTATGCATGATGTATATTTGGTTGTTTTCTATGGGAAGCAATAAACTTTAAAACGGGCTCATTTTACTTCCTCCCAGTGTTCCAGGGGACAGTTCGACAGCAAAAACATTTTTAACTTGAATGTAATTGTCTCAAAGGCACAATATTTAGAAAGCTTCAATATTAAGACAGCTGATGGTACACTAAACACGCTTCTAATTAATGTATGCATTTTTTATTGAATAAAAGATATATCCAAAATAATTTAGCAAAAATTCAAGGTTTTGTGTGATTGCCTACCGTCCATTGATCAGTGTGTTAACGTCTTGATAATCATGTTAAAATTCTTTAGTCTCATTTTCAAATTAATAGATGAAATAATTTAAATTTTCAATGTACAGATACTAAAAACCTGATTTTACACTGCATAAAAATCTTACTTCTATAATAGCAATAGCATATCGTCTGTACAGAAATGGTGTTTATAGTTCATTCTAAATTCTTTATTGATTATTTCTTTTTTCAGTATATGAGGACAAAACCAATTATATTCGGTCATAGTCAATGAATAATTGTTCTAGTTTTTTAGATGCAATCATATTAATTTAGTTTTAATGGATAATTTCCATGATTAACAAAAATTCACTCTACTAAATAAAAACTAAATTTCTATTCATGTTCTTATGATTGAATACTCCAATACCTTTATGATGAGTCATTTTTATTGGTCACCAACACTCACTTTTACTTGGCTTATACTATGAGCTTCTTGCAAAGTCAAATAACTGAATCTAACTATCACAATATACAATATTACGTGTTATTTTCAGTCATATAAACAATATCAAATGAAAGGCTAAAATAAAACTTAGTTCATGTTTTAGTTTCTTGTTTATAACTCATCAGAGCTGTTTCTTTGCGATTAAATTTTTTGAATGTATGTGATCTTCATTCAAAAACTTGGAAGAATAATTCTTTTTAAACTTCGATTTTATCTTTCGTAAAATATTGAATTATTGAATCAATAAATTTCTATTTAATGCAAAATTCTTGTATAGCTTTATATGACTTCAATAAGTTACAGAAAAAAGAGATGAGATCTTGAAGTTAATAGAAGGTTATTCATGAAAAATTTTGTCCTATAAAATGACGGAATTTGTATTTGAAGTGTTCTGTTGTTCATTCTTGTTCATCTCGAACATAAGAAACTTGATGAACACTTGCATCAAGTTTGACTGGCTCTTTTTGATGGTTTTCATTAGCTTGAACAATTTTATCTGCATCTTCTTTTTTGATTGTAGAAGCATTCTTAAGTGTTGTATTTGCAACGGAACAAACTTTTTCTTCTACTTTTGTTTCACCACTTGCTAATTTTTCCCAATATTTTCGTGTTTCGTTTATAACACGTTGTGCATATTCACGATTAGCATATTTTCCATCAAGGGCAAATTTATTTGGAGGTTTTCCAGTTGGGATTTTATAATCTTTAAACCAACGACGTGTGTGCTCAAGTAAACCTGGAAGATGTTTATCAACATCATCAATATCATTAATCTATAAAAAAGAATAGAAGTAAAAAGAGTATTTGTTTTGTTGTAAAATTTTACTTGTGATGCAAGCTTATCACGAATATCAATACCAATTAATTTCCAATCTGTTTCACCTTCATCAATTAAACCAAGTACACCAACTATTTTAACAGGTACAATTGAACCAGTTACATGAAGATCAGTACCTATTTCACATACATCTAATGGATCATTATCACCTGTTGTTTTCGTATCTTCATCAACATGATTTGGATCTTCCCATGTTTGAGGTAATGCACCATAATTCCATAAATAACCATGATAAGGAAACACATTATGAACAAAACGAGGTTTACCTTTAAAAACAAAAACAACAAAATTTAGAATTAAAAAACAAAAAAATTTGAAATAACAAACCACTCTTAACATCTTGAACAATTGGATTCATTTTAAGTTGTTTATTTATTTCCATTTTAGCATTGGTCCATCGTGGTACTTCAACAATCATGTTATAAATCATATCTGTTTGATTTCCAGTTGAACGAGTATAATGTTCATTAACAAGTGGAACATCATGAAATGGTGAAACAATTGTTTTTGTTTGAACATCTCGAAAATAACAACGATAATTAAGTGTATGTAATTGACCACGTTCAACTATTTCATAACGTTGATTTTCATTGTCACTGGATTGCGACGCCATGCTTGCTTCTGGTTCACCTTGTACACGTGTATGTTGGATGCGTTCTTTTTTGGTCTTGTAGACACTGTAGATAGGACCTTTTTATGCTCTTCAAAAAAGAAAAGATTCGAGTACGTTCTAGAATGGAAAAGAATAAAGAAAAAAAGAATAACCGAGAGAGAAAGATTAATTTCTGAACGTATAATCACATAAGACGCAGGAACGGAAAAAACTGATGATGCGCATAGTGAAAACTAATTATGTTCCACGTCAATGCACATATTATAACTGAGGTAATTTTATTCTTTCCTAATGGTAAATTGGATTGTGATTCGTTTGAAGGTGATAGAAAATGTAATGTGAAGAGTTTTCCATAACATTATATATATATGAGTTTATCATGATACGCAGTAAAATATTTACATATTGGTGATTGTTCGACAAGAAAAACAAAATTATAGAATTATTCATTGAAAATTTTGTTAATATGTTTTCATATTCTTTTGATGTCATTCGAGGATTCATTACAGCATAAAAATGCAGAAAAATATGTGAATAATAAAAACAAAAATGTGCATTAGAACTCGAAAATATTATGACTATGATGTCATGAAATATATTTTTTTGTAATAACTCCAATGAATAATACTTTGACCTTGATCAAACAAAAAAGAAAATACAAGACATTCGTAAATGAAACTATAGGATACACATTGGTATTTCAAAGAAGAATATTCATGTTTGCATGTTAGACCATACATGAATTAACCTATTTTTCTTTCTTTTGATTTCAGATGCCGATTTTAATTATAAATCAATAAAAATTATCATGATCATAAATATCATTTTTTACGTTTTTTTTGTAATAATGAATTTTTTTAATCATTGATTAATTAAATTTTATCAATCAAAAATGATTTGTTTCGTACATACGACCTCTTTCTTATTTAAATGTAACTATAGTAACTAAAATGAAAATGGCTACTTTACATTCTTCTTTGACCTTCTTGCTTCATAGTTAACTTGGATTAAAAATGCCACCAAAAGGGAAAAAAGGAAAGTCCGAAAAAAAGAAAAATAAAGAGAAAGAAGAAATTCTTCGTCCATCTGAAAAAGAAACCATTCTCCAAGCAGAGTAAGGTACTTTTCTTTAGCATAAAATTCTAATTCTTGTCTTTTTCTCTAGACTCGATAAAAAAGTACAAGAATTAGCTGATACAAAATTGCGTGTTCGTACTGCGTAAGTTGATTTTTATCAATCGTTTCTTCTAAATCTTCTTATAGTCAAGAAGAAAATAATTGGCTCAATGAAGAAGCAAATAAAGTTCGCGCGGAAACAGTAAATATGCAAATAAGTCTTCTTAATATGCATAAATAGACACGTTTATACTAGGCTGAATACGTGCAATATATGTCAAAAAAGACAAATATTCGCCAAGCACAAATTGTTACATTGACTGATTATCATCGACAAGAGATCGAAGAAATTAATCGAGATAAAGAAAATATGCTGAAAGAATATGAGAAGAAAAAAGAAGGTTTATTATTCTTGATCAGTATTTTATGCATGAATAAATTCTTTGGTTTTTAGAATTACGATCTCAATTATTAAAAAAAGAACAATTATTGGCACAAACAAAACGTGAATTAGAAACTATGGGAGAATATAAAGTTTGTTTATGAAAATTTTTATTTCATAAAAAAAGTAATAAAACAAAATTTAATTGTAGAATATTCAAGAACAACAAAATAGTGAAATAAAACGTTTACAAGAAGAAATTAATCGTATGCGTGGTGAACACGTGCGTGAAATATCTAATATGAGATTAACTTTTCAAAAAGAACTTCAACGACAACGAACAGAAGAAGATGCTAAAGTCCAAGAAATTCGACGACAAGCTGATCAAGTTTGTTTCAATAAATAAATATTTATTAGTCGTTATTATTATTATTATTTAGGAAGCTGAACAATTTCTTTATGATCGAACTTTAAGTATTCAAAGTGAAAATCTACAACTACGTAAATCATTACAAGAATTACTTCAACGAGTTCAAGCATTGGATGAATCGAAACAAAATTTAGAAGAAGAGCAAGTTATTTTAATTCGACAACTTAGATTAGCTGCTGATCTTAAACGAATACGTTTAAATAAAGCTACACTACCTATTAATAGCATCTCAACTAAATCAACGCCTCATTAATCTCATATGAGTCTTTTTTTTTTAACTATTTATTTTTATTTTTTGATTTTGAATAAATAAATAAAAAATGTGTGAAAACATTGCATTTGAATAAACCCGAAATTTCATCCGAAGAAGTTTACATATTCGTTATAGATTTGTTATGGGCGTGAATCTGAAATTTAAAAATGCTTTCGTAAAACAAATTGATGCTCTATCATTATAGAGATAAAATCAATTTAATCCAGTGTATGTTCTAACTCCATAAGCCCAAAACTATGACCCCTACAATTGGAACTTCGGATCTCAATTCACATCCAGTAGAAAATCGAACAGACATATGCAGAGAATTTCTATATTATTATTAACTATTAAATATTGTACTGAATGAAACCATGATAGAATTAAATAAAAACAAACAATATTATATTTAATAAAATCAACTAAAATAATTAAATCAACAATTTACAGATAATCTTCGTAAGAACAGGGCTACATGGGAAGTCCAATCGTTCTACTAGTACTTTTCTTAGTCAAACTCTCATTTAATCATATGCTCACAGAAAGAGTACACTGAAGTGAACATTTTATCACTGATTTCATGGGTTTTTAATCGAATTTTTAACGCTAACAGTTATTAATAATGTAAAACAATTTTAGGTATTAATCTGATAATTGACTCTTTCACAATGAGTTTAATTTCAGGGCAAGTTGATAAGACAGGTTAGTACTTAAATTTTGAATTTGATAGCTCATCGGTGTGGCTTCAATTCAGGACACTATAAGCATATTTACAGTATTTATTATCAATTTTTATGTGTGAACAAATGTTTTAATTTGAAACGTGAAATGAGCAAAATTCTGATATCGCCTCACTTGATGGCCATTTTAAGAAGCTACAAAACTGGAAGTTTTCTTAAGTCTAAAAACACTAATTACTTAAGTAATTCCGAGGTACATTATATTCGAAGTACATTTTTTGTAATTTTTTGACGATTATTGAGGCACTTTTTGTTGATAAAAGTACAGACTAAATCAAAACTTATATCATATTCGAAATTAACATTGACAACTGAATTGACTCATAGATGTTTCAAAAGTTTGTAAGATCTAATTTTTCGTCGAAAAATGTAGTCCTGTACTCCCCCTCAGTGGATGATCAAAAGCTGATATCTCTCGAAAGGATGTGGTTGCGCGTGGATAGCATAGAAACAATACATATACCCATATCCATTTTAATTGGGTACAAGCTTCAAGAATCTTTACTATTCACAAGTAGCAGCTATTTATTCACCATTGGCAGTTTTATTCTATTTAATTTTCAGTGATAAGGTGATTACTTTACAAAATTCTGTCACTTTCTGAAAAAAAACTTTTTTGTCTATTCTCATGAGCCAATCATAGTAGTAAATTAGCATGACTTCATTTTCAGATTACCAAACAATATGTAACATTTTATAAATATGATATGCTTTGTTAGAAATTTTTGTTTCTTCTAAGAATACATATTTTGCATCATATTACTTGTCCTATTGATCACGATACAATTTTTCGTTTTTACTCTTATATAATAAATAATATGCTGGAAATACCTAACAAGTGTAAATGCTTATTTATAAAGTAAAATTTCGTATAAACTTTTTTTGAATAAATTTAAAAAATTTAATTATATCTTAAAACTATAACTTGCATTCAACTTATGGCATATGGAGCCGAGACTGTTTTCTTTTATGGTACATTAGAACGCATTATTCCCAATTGTCTAAAAATGAGAAAAGTCACATCATGTTGGGTTGTTCATCAACTCGATGATGAATATAAATTGGAATAAGTTAGAAGCTGTCGGAAAAACTTAGCATCATTTCGAGATAGACCATAGCGATTACGTATTATTATTAGAAACCACTAGACATGAATTTACTAAAAAATAGATTGGCTGTGAATTAACTAACTTTAGATGAATTAGTGAAGATACTTTGTTAACTTGTATCGTTCGTCAGCATAGTTTTAAATCGAGAAATTTATTTTGTATATTCTTTAAACCGAATCGTCATATTGTTGTACATTATGTGAATAAAAACAAGATTTCAGATTATGATTATTATTTCGAAAATTCTCTGAAGCCTTTTATTAATGAAATATAAACACAAACAAAGATGTTAGATGTGAAACGTACAAAATGACTCACTCAACAATCATCGTTGACTTTAGTACTTGTCTCATACATGGGTACCAGATTCGAATAGCAAACGACGTATAACGCCGAAATGATCATGCTACACAGTAAAATGAAATGCTAAATGAAATAAAGATAAGTAAAAAGTTTTTCAAAAATCCGTAGGAAATAAAATGTGAATAACTCTTAAAATATGTTGAAATTCGATACGAATGTTAGTAGAGAACGTTTCGGTCTCACATCAGATGAAACATTTTTTTATTCGAATGAGCTGGCCATAAAGAATAGAAAAAAAATTCATATGCAATGGTTGAAACTTTAATAGACGTTTCGGAAGTCAGCGTTTAATTAATTTACAATCAATAAACAGTAAATAAATTGATCCCATTTTTCGCTGATGATATTGTCTTAATATAAGTGGTGCATTGTCTTATAGTCTATTAGAATGCGTTTCAAAAATTTCTTTTCGCTTGTTAATTCATATAAAGTTAAGTTAAACTAAATTTTCTTCGATTCAATTAGTGTGGATACGTGAAAAAACTTATGTTTCACCATAAAATAGTGGTGCTTGATTACGATTCTGGATCTTTTACGGTTTAAATTTTTTAAAAGTAAGATTCGTTCGAAAAACAATAAAATGAAAGATTATTAGATTTTAGTTTTA